AGACCTCGCAGTCCAAGAAAGCCAACCTGCCATTTTTTACATCTTCTTGTGTGAACTTGATGTATTTATCCACAGAGTTGATGTGGTCAGTAAAATGTTGGACTTCCTGAGATTTAATTTTAACCCATGTGTCATCAACATACCTGAACCATTGACTTGGTGGTGTCCCTGAAAAGGATGCCAAGGCTCTCTTTTCTACCTCCTCCATGTACAGGTTGGCAACAATAGGAGAAACTGGAGACCCCATAGTACACCCATGTTTCTGCCTATAATATTGCTCCCCATATGTGAAGTAGGTTGATTGCAGGCACAGTTTCAAGAGTTGACACAGTTGTTCTGTGGAAAGCGTGGTCCTGCTGCTCAGAGTGGTGTCTGATTTTAATCTTAAACTGACCACCTCTACTGCATCATCAACAGGAATGCATGTAAAGAGTGATGTGACATCAAAAGAGACCATTGTTTCATCAGTCTCCATGATGACATCCCTCACCTTATCCACATAGTCCATAGTGTTCTGTATGTGGTGTTCTGAGCTGCCAACTAAAGGGATGAGTACAGACGCCAGATATTTGGAAGCATTGTAAGTGACAGAGTTAATCATGCTAACAATTGGTCTTAAAGGTACACCTTGTTTTGTAGATGTTAGGTAAACCATACAGACTAGGTGTGGCCTCCCCTGGGTACAGTCTGTGGTACAGAATACGGTCAATAGCCTTGTCCTGTTCCAAATTTTTCAGGCACTCTATTAACTTCTTGTAACCACTTCCTGGATCTCTTTTCAGAGGTTCATAAGTGGTTAAGTCACTAAGGAGTGTCATAACTTTCTCACGATAGTCTTTTTGGTTCAAAATCACTGTGCACCTTCCTTTGTCTGCTGGAAGAATGATGATGTTTTTGTCCTTGCTAAGCGTGGTGAGTGCATCAATCTCCTCTCTACTGATGTTGGAAGGTGGTGGTTTGGCATTGCTGAGGCATGCTGAAACTTTGATTCTGAGCTGTTCTGCTTCACCCTTTTTCATTTTGTTGTTGCGGATGGCTGACTCTGTGGCTGTGATCATCTCCACCAGAGGAATTTTACTTGGTGCAACCACAAAGTTCAGTCCCCTGGCAAGAATCTCTGTCTCTGGCTGGGTGAGCTGTCTGCCAGATAAATTCTTCACCCACTTTTCTGTCTCCCTGGCATGTAATTTACTACTGGAGTGTTCTCCTACACTGAATGTGTTGTTGTTGGAAAAGTGATGGTGTTGATGAGCTATTAGTAAGTTAAACTTGTTTTGTTGTCGAGTCTTGGACTTGACATGCTATGCTAAGCGTGCCTGTTCTGTACAGTGCAACACTTGCTGAAGTGCACAGTATGTCAGCTTTGCACAGCATGTCAAGTCCTAGACTCGACAACAAAACAAGTTTAACTTACTAATACTTACTTATGTAGTGAACTAGGCCTCCGATCAAACCTGCCTCTGAAGATCTTCATGGGACAGGAACTGTTATTTCATTGATTTGAATCCAGAAATAAAAATTAGCTCTTCCAGAGACTTTCTAATTGTATCCTGGACTAATCAATTGAAAGAACACTCTTTTTTATATTACCATTACTATTTTACAATATCTTGATAATCAAAAGTGTGTTTAGTTCATACCATTTTTAAATGTTGAAGTGAACCACTCATTTTAAATCAACTGTGAAACAGTATTAATGATTTTTTAAATCCTCATTCAAATTAGAAATCAAGTTAAATGTCTATTTTACAAAGTAATTTTGCATTTTTGATCTTCTGTCTGAAATGAGAAGAGTGATGTCGGTCAAAAGTCGGAGACAGTCCAAAACAAGTTATTGGAACGAGCTGTCGTGTTTTTAAACCTCTCAGACAGAAACAAGAGAACTGGCACCTGCAGTGTTTTTCACCTTGTCAAAACATTTCTCTGTCTGTTCCTAAACATTTCCGCTGTTTTCTTGACTTGTAATAACCCTCTGACGTCACTAAAACCACACCCCTGTTGGTTCCTTCAACCAATCAGGACTTCCTAAAAGTGACCAGAAGCAGAACTCTTTAAAAGTCGACACTTCCTGGTTCCTGTAGTTGGTGGGTTCCGTTAGTTCTGCTGGTTCTGATGGAGTTCGGCTGGAGTTCCTAGGAGTTCTTCTGAGTTTTTCTCAGACTCAGTCTTCTGAGTCTAGTTGGGATTATGGAGCCTTCCACATCTGAGAGGAACCTCTGACAGACTCACAGCTAGCTGTGAGTTCACCCGGGAGATGAGCGTGTTGTTGAACGGAGTACCGTCACTACTTCGGACGATTCTCAGCCATCCAGAGGAGACGCTGAAAGGTAGCGCTGAAATGGAACTCGGTACCGGAGCTGACCTATCTTCTGCAAAGGTAACAAGTCGCTTCACTACCTAGTGTACCGGGGCTGAGCTGGGGACGGATGAAGGGTGTCATTCCTCGTCAACACACTTTCTTCCTCCACATTTTCTCTCCATTTAAACTCCTTCATTTCCCATCTATAAAACTCTTCTATCTTGCCAGTAACTAATCCAGATATCTTCAGAAATGTCTGTTGTTTTTATTAAGTAAAATGTACCAAGTTTTATTAATCAGAGCCGATCAATATAATCAAGTGTACAAAGTTTTGATGTTAAATTTTGATTCTGTTAATAAATGACCACATTTATTTTGATGGGTCAAAGAAAATTGACGTCTCATGTCACTGATTAAACCATTGACAACACAGTACCTCTGTCACATATCTGTCAAGTAGCTCGAAAAAGAGAGAACCCGTTAATTTAAAATATGACTGTAGTGGATCTCTGAAGATAACCTCACTGTTTAGCACACTACATCTGGTGGCCCGACGTGGTCTCTAAAGAGTTTCTCGTGACCCGCATGGTCTCTAAAAGAGATAATTTAGGACCTATCCTCCTCTTTGGACATTTTGTGGCCGTACGAATGTTTAAAGAGGTATGAATTATATGTGATGGAGTCTGTGTTATTGAGATGGACGCTCATGTTGGCATTAAAAGGTCCGAGTTTTGAGCTTGATACAGGCATGATTCTGCTTGTGGTGTTCAGAGAGCTGAAAGTAATGTCAATGTGTTCATTTTAAAACTGAAAATTGTACATCTGTTGTGTAACTGATGCTCGCATGCTGTGGAAAAACACTTTATTCTGTTTAAACGGTAGCAGAGATACGGGTTTTGTCTAACAGGTTCTGCTGTCCGACTCGGTTCTGATTCCTTGAACGAGTGGTGTTTTAAATGGAAAACGCTGTTTTAAAGCTGAGTGCCGTCTCAGACCACTGGTAATGCTGATTCGTTACATTTTTAACAGTAAATTGTGCATTTTTGAAGTTTAATGGGCGATTGTTGACCGGACATTTTCAGGCTAACTGCTAACAATGCTAGCTGGAATCACGAGCTGTGATTGGTTGAAAACCGCTTTTTGGGTCGCTCTGATTCGCTGAGAAATGGGTGACGTGTCTGCGTTCACTCCCTCTGATATCAGATTGTAAAGCCCACCCCGTTGCTCACGTGTCTATGAAGTCACATGACCCCAGAAATGAATCTCAGTTCAACCGAAGCCTCCTCTGTGTTTAAAATCGCTAAATGAAGCCTGCCACTATTCCCAAAACTCATGTTTTCATGCAAATAGTCGTGCTTGGTAAAACGATGCCTCGTTTAGCTTTAAATCCATTCAGAAAATGCTGATTTGACCGTGTTCGACCGTGTGCTACGTCTAGCTAACGGCTAACACCGGATGTCAACAGAACGATCCACAGGAAGTTGTCATAGACTTCTGCTGGTATAAATAAGCTTACACCACCACCTGCTGTTGAAAGAGGGGTATAACAGTTTTCCTGAAGGGAGACTGATCATTTCCTTTCATTTTTTTTTCTTTTTGTTCATCCAGCCTGGTTTATGAGTGACTGTATTAAATAGCGAATTTCTGGTATATAGAACT